ATCCAGGAAACCTGACTGCCGGCAGACACAGGGCACGGAGGTCCAAGCTTCAGTTTATTTCACTTTGGAGAATCAACTCTTCTGTCTTGTCATCAATCATCTTTCCACAAAGCAGAGCTCCACTTCATGTCATTCACCACTTGCTTCTTTCTATTATAGTCAGTGACTATTGCCCTTCTGGAGTGGAACTGACTGACCAGCAGTGCATAAATGCACATGCTATAAAGATGTACAAGTGCAGTTCTACTGATGGGATGTAAAGAAATTGGTGTAGTTTTTCAAGGCCACAGCACTGGGTGAGATTTGTCTTTCCTCATAGGTTAAAATGGAGGCATTTTCTGCCTGCTGGCATGTTCTGCTTTTTGCACTGTGAGGAGGACAATGAGCACAGACGTGGTCCCAGCATTCTCAACCCATGGAAATGTAATGACAGACTAAAACACTAAGAACCCAGCAGGTGGGGTAGGTGAACTCAGGAAAAGCCTGTCTGGCCGAGATGGGGTCACCTGGGGCCACAGCCATGTGCTAAGACACAGTGTGCACTTTTACTGCTCAATTTCTGTCCCTCAGAGAAAGAATTCATTCAGGTATCCAAACAGTACTCAAACAATGTATTTATTACTGCTTTGATCCAGGAATTATAATCTAGTGGGGAAGATGATAGCACAGCAGATGGGCCACTTGGCAAGACAGCACACGATAAAGTGCTAAACCAAACTACTCCCTGACCTGTTTGACATTTTTCCCCCAGTGATTTGATGAAGACACATATGATGTACAGATCAACTTTAGGCTGGTAAAAGCTAAACAGAAACTCAAGAGACAACATTAGGACCCAAAAATGATCCTGAAGGTCTAGGGTCAAGTTCACCGGGATGAGGTTCAGACTAAGGGTGAAAAAAGAAAGGCCCAAGTAAAATGAACAGACTACAGCTTCTTAGGAACCAAAGTGACTTATGGCCTGGTAATGAAGATGTATGATAGGCAGTCAAAACAATGAAACCTGCAACAAAACCCTCCCAAGGGTCCTCCTCCTCCTGAGTAGCATCCAGTCTTCCCATGTCATGGAGGCTCTCTGACAGCAAGTCATCTGGCCCAGGGCCACACAGCTAACAAAAGAAAAGCAGAGCGTTCCGCCTGGCTCTTGCTCCAGAGTCCGCACACTCCCATGGCCCCACCACACTGTGGGCTTTGCTTCAGGTTCCTGAATCTATTTCTGTACAAAAGCCTAACCCGGGGCACAGGAAGGCTAGTGGTGAGGAAGGACAACTCCCCACATGGCCTGGAGAGTGGTCTCCATGCCCTTCAGCAATGAGGAATGCCGGGAGAGTAGAAGACCTGGTAACACACTCTGACAGCCCAGGGGGTCTCCGGGTGTCCTTAGTGAATTGTGATCATGGGTTACTGCCCAGAGGGCTGGGGCTCTGGGGTCTGCAAACTTAGAACCTCACTTTTATTACCACTGCCACTACACAAGGGTACTACAAAAAAACAACACTGCCGCTTCTAGTCACTGCAGGGCCATCTATTAATTTATATAAGGTAGGGGCGCTCCTTAGGTCCAAAGAAAATGACAAACCACCTGCTACTTTCAAATATGAAACATTTTGATCAACAACAATGTCAAAGAAAAGGTTAAAATGTGTCTGTCATCCACTCTCTGGTATTCGCTTTCTAGAGGCAGAACACTGTCTTCCCCAGGGCAGAACGAACTCGACCCACATGTGTCTGGTTTCAGAAGGAGCTTTCTCAGTGCTGAGAACAATCCCATTGGAGCCCACATGTTTAAAGGCTGCGGCGGGGCACTCCATGCCAGGTAGGGCCAATGACGCTACAGGATACAAGCAGTGTTCGGGGCTTCCCTTGGTTTGGACAAAGGTGAAAAAGCTCACTGAAGATTTTTAAAGTTTTCAGATTTTAAACCCTCAGATGCACCTGCAATTTTCTGTTTTATGTTTTAAAAGAGCTACTAGAAGCAAATATTCATTCACAGGAAGTCACCTAGCAACAACTAAAACAGAAAGCAAGCCATGCAACTACCTGCAGTGACCAGAGGGACTGGCAGGGTGTGAGCAGGGGAGCAGACCAAGGCAGAGCCCCTCCCACAGCTCTCAGGCCAAGGGCAGGATGAATCAGCACAGGGGTCCAGGTCCCGACATGGTAACTTACTAGCTGATGGTAAAACTCCCTTACATCCTCCACTTTTTCCCAGAGAAAACCTAAGTGCTGTTGGACATGCTCGGCCAGCCTCCCCAGGTGAGCATCACTGTGGGACACGGCATGAGTGAAACCAGCAGGTTCGTGAGATGGGAGTAGGGACTCAGGGAAGACAGATGGGAGAGGAGCCTCTGGACAGGAAGAGAGCAAAGGGAACAGCCCAGGACTGTGGCCAACCTGTGGCCAGGACAGGTCTGCATGAGGAGGCAGGTGGATGGAGTTCAGGAGGAGGTTCTGAATCTAGTCTTTGACTCCTGCCCCTGGCATGTACTGATTCCTCATCCCATCCCACACAGCTGTGGAATTCCACTTTCCCATCTGTGCAGCAGGATGCCATCATGATTCCGACTGTGCAGTTCTGAGGAGGGAAGCTGGGACAGCGATGCTCTTGAGGCTGTACCCAGGACAGGGGACTCCTAGGAGTCCCTGCTGCGTGCTCACAGTGCTGCGTGTTGGCCTTACTCACTGGGTGGGACACACTGAGAACCTCAATCTACCGGCCCTAGGTGAAGGACAAGCTCTTCCTGCTGCCACTGAGGGGCACAAGTGAGGCCTCAGAGCACCCCAGGGCTCTCTCCAGAGAGAGAGGTCTAATCTTTCTGAGGTCTTCTTGGGAACTGTGGAAATTTCTCTGTTTCCTAATGGAGGGGCAGAGATGAGTACCACAACACATTCTTTGTCACCCAGACGAATGCAACTTCTGGGCAGCAAGCGTGTCATCTAAGTGACAGCCAGCCAGCTCAGCACCATGCATGCTGAAGACAGTCAGCAAACAGACAACAAGACACCAAGTAGCCCAGGTGTACTGAAGCTGGAACTCAGGAATCACTGTTCTCCAAGCACTGCCCACAGAATATTCCATTTTTTGTCTTATCTCCGATGTTTATTTCCATGTTTCCTCCTTTGCTCCCTGCTTGCCATTTAACACCATGCCAGTAACACCCTCTGAGTAAAGTCCATTTTGATGAGGAAGACCTCTGTACACCTCTAGCGGCCTGTGCTGGAGCTGTCCACTTTGCAGGTCACTGACGCCTCTCCTTACTCGCCTCTCCTTTGTATAGAGCAGAGGAGCCCATTCCACCACGGAGTCCCAACATCTGCTCCTGGAAGGATTTCAGGCCAAGCAGACAACACAGAGGCAAGCCTGCTGCTTTAAAGACCCTCGCCTAACATTTACGCAGGGTCGTACAGGGTCCCATAGGCCCTCACACACTCTTTTACCTAGTCCCACGGCACACTGTGAGGCGCTATGGTTACCCTTATTTTCACAGTTGATGAAGGAGATGTGATGAGATTAAGAACCTGGGGGCAGGTGTGTGGCTTAGTGGTTGAGACACCTTCACATCATACCAGAGTGCCAGGGTCTGATGCTGGGCCCCCGAGTCCAACTCCAGTTTCCTGTTAACACAGATCTGCGAAGCAGCAATGACGGCTTGAGCCACTGGACACCTGCCACCCACTTGGGAGATGCGAATTGACTTCTTCACTCTCAACATCTTTGCTTTCAACTTTGTCACGGACCAGTCCTGGCTGCCATGTGTGGGTGATCATCCCAGGCCCCTGCCCTGCTTCCTAGGGCACATGGCTTAAGCCTTATCCTTCCCCCATGGCCTGAAGCACAGCCTTCAGGCCTACACGTGGAGTGTGACTTCCAACATGGCTATGAGGTCAAGGGGAGTATACCTGAACGTGACCTCTGACATCACCGGAAGATCTAGGGAGACAGACCTGTCATACAGATAACTATAGCATCTTGGGTGGGCGTGGAGTTTGTTGGAAGCCCCCGCCTACCCTCCCCTTCCTTACCCTTTAAAACCTGTAACCTTTGCATAATAAAGAGGACATTTCTCACCAGCTTGTCTCCTTTGGTACTTGTGACCAAAGGCCACCATCTGCCTCACCCTCGGTGACCTCGGGATGCCTAAACCCCTAGAGCTGTGGGTGTTTCAGGGGTGAACCACTTGACAGGCACACTCTGACTCTGTATCATAAATGAATGAACGAGTGAACACAATAAGGATCTGGAACTCTGATGTCATACACCAAAGGCAAAGCCATTTTTACGCTCTTGGGATTCTTTTTGTGTTGTATCCAAGGAACAAATGATACACTCATCTTTCATCATGTAACTAAATATAAAAAGCTTTTCCATTTCTATAAAATGAATTTTTCATCACAACTTCTTTAAACTCTGTGTGAGAGTCCACACAAACATGCAACAGCTGCACAAGTGAGGGGTACAATACTTCCTGCCACCACACCACAGGGGGCCAAGGACTCCAGGAGGATATCTCAGTGCTGCACAAGACCCTGAGACAAAGAGCAGTCTACAGAGAGGCACCCAAGGGCCCTCCACCCACCAGCTAACAACCTGGAACTTTGTGATGGCCTCAGAATGTGCTTCCTGTAAGCAGGAAATCTGCGTATGTCACAGCTCAGGCCTTGGGTAAGGTACTCTGCCCTTCGTAACATGCTACCTAGCGAGTCAGCTCTCTGCTATTGCTATTCATTCAATTTCTGGAAGCAGTTAAGGGTTCATCAATTCTTAAGATTAGAGCAGGTCATTGACCAAAGAGACTTCCTTTATAAGGCGTTTTAGGCTCAATTTGAGTTTTGTGTGTAAGTCGAGCTCCTCTGTTTCTCTCCCCAGTGGAGTAGTGGAAGTTGATGAGGGTCAAACCTGAAAACACACACACTTTCCTTGTGGTTCCCCATATGGAAACCATAGGACAGAAATGACTCACAAATGAAACGTGGAAGACAGATTGAAAACCTGTACTTACTTGGGTGGAATTCGTGAAACCGTGTTCACATTTGCGGCTGGGGCTACTACTTGAAGGATGTGTTCAAGGGCTGTTAATCCACCAGCGACTTGAAATGCGATCTGATCGGCCACATTCTAGACAGAAACACAAACAGAAGTTAGCTTCACTTCCCAGGCATAGAATTATAACTCAATGCAACACCCGGCTGTCACCCCAAACAGTCTGTTGGTTTGAGGGTCTTCCAGGTATTTGTTGAGTGTTTGCTCAGTGCTGGGAAAGGCAGGACGGCAGTGTGAATACAGATGACATGTCTGTGGCTCCCTGCGTGGACGGGCCCAGTAAGTACTAAGTAGGTAGTGACAGGTAAGGCCTCAAGACAGAAGAGCTTCTTGGTTAAAACAATGGATAGAAGAGCTCACCGTCGGCTTCACTGAAGATGCCGAGGTTTTAGGACAACCAGAGGAAGGCAGAACGGGGGTGCTCTCCCGTCAAGGGAGGGCCCCAACACAGAAATCTCAAGCAATACGCAAAACCATGCAGCCCTTTGTGGCCTTCCCTACCAATCCACAAGGCAAACTGACCGACACGATTTTTTTCCCACAAGATGTTTCTTTAATCAACTTCTGACCTAAACATTTTAACTGCATCTCTTTGGGTTTTTAAACAGCACTTCAGCTATTTTTGGGGGGAAGCTTATCAAGTCGGCGTTTCAGAACTCAACATATAATGACTTCTCCACAACTTCTGAACTTGGTATAATTCTGTGGGAGAGGACCTCCCTGAAGTTCCTTGCTTTCTTCTGGCACGGGGAGGACAAGGGTGACTCCTCACTACTGTCCCTGAGTGGTCTGAAGGCTCAGGGAGCATCACTCTATGGCATCCACAGGAACTAGGACAACAGTCTGCTGTGTCCTGAACTGACGTCGAGCCCCAGAACTACACAACAGAACAGCACTTGTAGGATGCCATCTTCAAAGAGCTGAGTAAGTTAAAAGGAGCTCTCATCTAACAGGAGTGGGATATGTGACAAAAAGGAAGACAGCAGGATATACTCACATAGAAAAAACCACCTCACAGCACAGCACTTCACAACCCCGGGTACCATGGCCTCTCATATTACATTTCCTCTAATTTTACTGTTTACTGAGCCTATGGACTGCTTGGAAATAGTGCATTTTAAATGTTTTGTTTTTTTCCAGGGAGGGGATTTTAAGAGTGAGCTCTGGCTATCACAGGTGCTATCAAACATATCTTCCTGCTTCTTCTCACATTCTGAGCATCAGTACTCCATCAACTAGGATTTGACTACACATCTGGATCCTGGTAATATAACCAAATGCATTTTTTTGCGCACAGTAAAACACATTTCATGAATATAAGTTCACTGTGAAAGTCAGACAGGAACTGGTTTCAGATTAGAAATGAATAATTGTGTTATCAATGGAAAGTGATTCTTTGTAACAAAATAATCAGAAAATCGCAAAACTCAAGTACTGGGTAATTTACTTAAAACCATAATGTGGCTACCACTTACTCTTTTTATGCTTGGACAATAATGTGATTAGAAAATAATAATAATCAGTATTATCATGTAATAGAGAAAAGTGTACTAACCATAACTATACAGCTGGATGAATTATGCAAAATGACACAACTTCAAAACAAAAAAACAAATCTACAGAGCCTGCTGGAGGGTCCCTGGTGCCCAGTTTACTCTGTCTTCCCAAAAGTAGCAGCTCTCTTGACTTTTAAAATCTTAACTCATTATACCTTTTTAAATCTATAAAAATAGATTCAAACTTCAATTTTTTTCTTAAGGATTTATTTATTTTTATTGGAAAGGCAGATATACAGAGAGGAGGAGAGACAGAGAGGAAGATCTTCTTTCCGATGATTCACTCTCCAAGCAGTGCAGCTGCCAGGTCACAGAGCAGGGCCGGTTTCTGTAGCTTTGACCAAATAAGTTTCCTAAAACGTTTGGAATGATTTGCACACACATTGGAGTTCAGTGCTAAATGCAACTACTCCACATTCTTGCCCAAACTTGGTTTTATCATTCCTTTAACATCAGTCATTCTAACAGGTGTGTAATGACATCCTACTAAGGTTTTGTTCACCTTTTCCTAATGACCAGGGAAGCTAAACATACTGTGTTTGGCAGCTATTTGCCATCAAAATATTTTTTAAACTGAGGTACACCATCCCCCATATCTGCAAGGAATTGCAGGAACCCCACATACACAGACACCAGACCCTGTGTGTGCACAGTATGCTATATCAAATGGAGTCATCTTTGTATACAACCTATACTGCATCCCCCTCATACTTCAGACCACCTCTAGATTATTTACAATACCTAACTCCAGGTAAATGTGCTGTAGGAAATAGTTACACCCTGCACTGTTTACAGAAAGATGACAAGGAGAAAAGCATGTGCATGTTCAGTACAGAGACAATCTTCCTGAGTATCTCCAATCCCCCAGCGGTTGAATCCGCAGATGTGGAGCGCACACTTATGTGATTGGTTCGGGATATAAGTGCACCATTCAAAGCAGACAGCCACTGGTTGGCACCCAGCCATCTGTGTCACCCTGGCAAGTTCCCCTGTGTCCTCCTCACTGCCAAGCGCTTGTCCCAAAGCATCATGGCTTTGATTTAGGGTTCCATGTTGGGGCTCTCTGTTGTAGGGGCTCATGTGGATGAGATGCTGTGATATGCATATATATGAATACTTGCTGGGTTAGCAAGGTAGACACGGTGCTCCTTGTAACAGGTCCACTGGTGCTGGCCCAGGGTGACCCAGAGACTGGTGGAAGGATGTGAAGTCAAGAAGGGGAAGCAGTCACACAAGTTCTTTCCACACTCCAAACATGTGAGCATCACACAGCAAACACACTGAAATGTTCAACTCGTGTAACCATGTTAAGATACCCACATGTGTTTGTGTAACAGGAGTGGAAAAGCTCACGGTAAGACGAGGGTGGGGTCATGGTAAGAACAGCTTACCACAGACGCTCAGAAGGATGGTTGGCTCTTTCCTCTTTGCTCTTTCACACCGACTCACCTTCCAGACCTGAAAATCCCACTGCCATTATAGCTCTTGATTCTCCCTCTTCTACTGTGATTACTGCTATGGGGTCAGTTCAGGGTCTCATGCCCTCTCCCATAAAGGAGAGATTTTTGTTTTTAAGATTTGCATTTGTTTTGTGAAATAGGTTACAAACAAAGTACTGAACAAATTAAAAAAATATATATGTACTAAGTAGAAACCCACATTTAAAAATTTTGGCTGTTAGAGACATAAAAGTACTCTGCTGAGTTGCTGCAACTCACCCTTCATTTGTGTAACTGTACCTGGCACTATGGACTCCATTTCTTTCTTTCTTTCTTTTTTTCTTTTTTTTTTGGGAAACAGACAGAATGAATCTTCCATCTACTGCTTTATTCACTGGTGCTGGCGACAGCCAGGAGCAGCCCAGACTGGAATCAGGAACCGGGAACTTGGTCCAGATGTGGGTGGCAGGGAGCAAACACCTGGGCTGCCACTGCTGCCTCCCTGGGAGTCTGTCCCCAAGAAGCTGGGATTCAAAGCAGAGCTAGGATCCAATATGGAGGCATTCCAGTGTGGAATGTAGAGGTCCCATGCAGAGTCTGAGTTACCTTGCCGAACACCTACCCTTGTGGACTCAACATCTGAGTAGTCCAACCATAGATCTTTCAAGAGTAAAGGTGACCATTGGCTCTTCACTGGAAATCCTCTGGGGACTGACTTTCCTCCCACCATCAGAATGCTCCTGCGGATTCTGTTCCCTCATCATCATCCTCCTTCCCGACTCTGCTCACCAATCCCTGCTGTCTCTGTGCCTGCAGAGCACACTCTGTTGTTCCCATGAAGAACTGCTCCTCTAGTGTCCTATTACTGTGTCCCCACAACCCAGGGAGCCAGAGCGTGCGTCTGCTTCATCACCTCATCCCCGACTCTGCATGGGGGGCCGTAAGACGCTCTGAGAAGGAAGTGTGACAAAAATACTCTTCCTGTGCTTTAACTATGGAGACACAAACCCACACTGTCTTAGTGTGGCCCCAGCAAAAAGCCTCTGTTCATGATCTGAGGATGCAACTCCACTTTTCAAGGCTACAGAACATGGTCAGCTTGAGTCCCAAGAGCCCTCAGGGAAAGGCAGTCCACACTGGCCCTACACTTGGCCTTTGTGCGAACCTCCGGCTGCTGGTATCTCCGGGTCCTGGGTCCTGCCAGGCCGCGTGGGTCTCATCAATCTGTCCACAGGGAAACAGAGCAGCCTCGAGGCCGCCCTGGGAGATGTTTCCCCAGGGTGGGGATGGGGTGGGGGGAGCCAGGTCACAACTGTAGAAGCGGAGGGGAGGCGCTGAGTGAAAGCAGACCATTGTAATGTACACATCTTTGTCTTAAAAAAAAAAAAAAAGCCCAAACTCTGAGCCTTTCATCCAGTGCCAGCAACATGGATGTGACCTCTTGGAAAGTCTTGAGACACGGGTTCCAGTAGACACTGAGCAGGACAAAATAAACCAACCTCGGGAAGATAAAGGACACCCGAGGCCAACACTTCCCTAGCGTTACTGTTAACAAGGGAAGCTCTTGCTGAGCATCTGGGACAGCTTTCTGAAGAAAGAAACAAACAAAAACTACCCCAAGGTGGACTAAAAACACTTCAGGCACACCTCCAGAGGAATGAAGCCATAGCCTCCTGGGCGCTCAGACACCAGCGCCTTGTGGTGTCCTCGGCCCACGTGGACCACTGCTCATTTTTGCCCCACCTCCCAGCCTCCCTCCCCATCTATGAGTGGCTCTAGCGTAGGACCTGGATACCTGCACGGTCCATGCCTGTCCTGGCATAGGACAGCAGTGTTGACTGCTCAAGGGGAGAGTGACAGCACGCACTGAGGAACGCGGGCCAGGTTCTCACTGTACAGCAGCAGCACTGAGCCGTGAGGTATGACGGATCCTCGGTGTTTAGCTGCACGCAGGTGCAGCAAGGGGGCGTGCACCTTAACACAACACAGACGCACAGCAGGCACACACCTTGCCGCAGTGAAATATGGCTTGGACAATGCCTGAATGTCAGACATGACTTCACCTTCCCAAGACAGAAAC